TTGTTGTTGGAGCCCTAAGCATATCTCCGAGGGCTCTGAGTGCTTCTGGGGGGTCTGTCTGCCTGGGCTCAAAGCCAACTTAAAGATAGCACAGCTAGGTGTCTTGGGGGGGAGGAAGATAGAGAAAGACTTAGTGGAAGTTACCCACAAAAATAAGCCTCTATGTGGGCTTGTGCCATATTTACTTGGGAGCTGCTTTAAGCTGGGACTCTTGCATGTGGCTACATTGCAGCTGCATCACAGCCATGCCTGGCCCTTGATCTTGACCCTCAAGTGCACACACAGCTTCTCCAAATGTTGTTTTTTCCTCAGTTACAAACAGGGAATGATGTTCCACAGACTATTGTTTTTAAAAGAAAAAATGTAGGTTTGTGGGAAAAGTGATAGTAAGCACAGAAAGGCTGCAAAATATGTTTAAGGCTTCAACCTAGCAAAATTAGGAAGAAACTCTCAGTTTTTGGTTCAGCATGCCATATAATTGTGTATTTCATAAATACTTACACTATATTTTTTCACTATGGTGTCTGGGCTTCTTTCACTAGTGTTCGAGCAATGTGAATAACTTTCTTACATGTGGTTTCTTCTCTAAACCACCATGTCCCTCCTTTTCCCTCATGTAAGAAGGTCTCATCCTGGTTCTCAGAGAGCCAGTTCATGACACTTTAGGTGTTTATATATGTGTATATTTACACACACTCTATAAACACACGTTTCTCTCTAAGAAAATCAAAGAAGCTGATTCTTCCTCAACTTTTAAACTTTCAGTTTTTAACTTCAGATATGAAGATTAAAATAAATATTAAAGGTTTTTTTTTTTCAAACTCTTAAAAAATGCAAACCCTTTATTTTTAAACATTCTATATTATTGCAGTAAGTTTTTCAAGAGAAGTTGTATCCCAGAATAGTATTTCAAGTGCAGCATCTTGGGTAGTTTATTTTAGTTCTGACAAACATGGGGAAAAGACATTAATATGGGGGAAATTCAAATTTCTTAGTAATAAACTCATCTTGTATAAAAAGAAAGAAAAACATCTCATAAGCATGTTGTCTTATAATAATGCTGATGAAAAGTGCTGGGAATAGGGATTTTTTTTTATTATTTTGTATTTATGCTGATGGTCTTCTACATTCTCAACTTGGAAATTAAAACCCTACCAACTCTAAATACATACAATGGCCTGTATTTCCTATTAGACTTACAAAAAAAAAACCAAAAAAACAAAAAAACACTATCATAGTTTAATTAAAGTTTCTCTTCTGTAAACTAAAGGGATTTGTTTCTTGAATTATAGAATTATTTGAGTTCAACACCGAATTCAGGCCATGTTGCTTAGGGCTTTTGTTTGTGATTTTGTTTGTTTGCTTGTTTGTTTTTGTTTTTTATATCCAGTCAGTATTGGGAAGTTCAAAGAAAGGAAATTCCACAATTTACATAACCTCCTGTGGCAACCTGCTGTATTGCTTCATTATCTTCACTAGCTGATTGGAATGGCCACTGATTCTTCTTATGACCCCACACAATAAAGAGCCTGACTTTACCTTTTTTTCTAGGTCTTCTAGGTAAAGATCTAGGCTTGTGGGTACTGGAAGACTGTTATTAAGTCTCCCCTACCTGTTTTCCTTTCCACACTAGACAGGTCCAGTTCCCTTAGCCTCTTCTCGCAGGACATCTGCTTTAGCCCCTGACCATTTTTGCCTCTGCTGGCTCACATTTATCAACTGCTTTCTTGTACTGGAGTGCTCATAACTGGATGCAGTATTCCAGATGCAGTCTAACACATGCCAACTAAAGGAAATAATCATTTCCCTTTTCTATTTTTTACCCCACTACCCATGACTACTCCCAGCTCCTATTCAGTGGAACTGAGTGGCCTGTCTGTCCCAGCCTGTGAAATGGCAAAGGGTTTGTCTGGCCAAAGTGCAGGGCTCTGCTCTGTGTTGAACTTCATGTGGTTCCTGTCAGTCTGCTCTTCTAGCCTGTCAAGAGGCAGCCCTGCCCTTGAGCATTGAATATATTTGTGGGATAAACAGTGCAGCTATTTTTTACTGGTTTATGCCATCACTTATTTTTGAAGAAAAATGCTGCATGCAATGGAAATTTCAATATAATTAAGATGTTTTAGGCTTATTGGAATGTAAAACTCCTATTACAAAGAGTGTAATTATTTTCTTATTAGCTATAGTGATGAGGGCTTTCATTTCATACCTAGTTTCAGGGAGAATGAATAGCTTCATGTGGGGTCACATAGTGCTGGAAGACTAGTCCAAACTATGACAGGAAGAAAGAGGATGGAACGTTCTCTCTACTCCTGACTCGGTGAAAAGAGTGCCACCTACCGTGTATATCATCCAGTTTTGCAAAAAGAAGTATGTAAAGCACAGTCTTTAATCCAAATTCTGACTCACTGCAATCCAGTTTATTAATGATATGAGTCAATGGTGTTACAGCACAAGATGTGTCTGTACAAGCTAAAGAAACCTAAGATTTTATATTATGATAGCTAGGAGATCTAATATCCTGCTTTAATGCAGTAATAAAGTAATGACATACTAGGGAATATATGTGTACTAAATTTTGTTGCTGTAAAATTGATAGAAATGCAGCCTGCATGCAGTCTCAGCATATGTTGAAAAAAAAAAGAAGGAAAAAAATAAAAAAGCTTAGCCAAAGCTGCTGCTGCAAGGAAGAAAATTGATGTCTGTTTCTGGAGATGTGAGGACCACATAGTGTGAGGAATGGAAAAAAATGAAGACTGTACAATGGCAGAATCTTTAGAAAACACTTCATAAAACTTGTTTATTGCTCAGTAACATAAATAATAGCATACTGCTCTATAAACACTCCTCATGCTACGGTGTCTTTGAAGTCTGATTCTTCTACTTCAGACATTTAAACTGGCTGGTGTACCTACAGGCTTGCCTGTATGTTTAGGAATTACCATGCCTTCCTATAGATCTTGCATCTTACAGTGTCTTTCAGCTTTGACCTTGTTACTATTTTGTCTCTGGTTCAGTAAAGAATGGATTCCCATCTTCTTTATACATTATTCAGGAGACAAAGGATGACAATGTTAAGATGTCTCCTAGACAAGGATAGAAAGCATACTCCCTGCTCTGCGCAATGTTAGCATCTGTAGCCAGATGATGACGTTTCTGCCATTGTCTGCTGCTATTACGTGATTATGTATTGTGAAACGTGAGATGCTGCTCATCATTTCACTTCCCAAACTCTAAACAGGTGAAGTATGATACGCATTTGTTCTGGCTGGCTGGAAGGGCTACACTTTGCTGTTACAACATGATTTACAGTCATGGCAGACTTCCCTCGCCCCAGTGGAAGTTGAGATAAGCAGTTTCAATCTTATCAATATCTGATGTGTTTCATGGAGAACACTGATTGCTTAATGTCTTGTAACAGAGAAGGAAACAACTTCAGTTTATGGAATTTGTCCTTTTAGTCTTTATTAGAGCAAGTTAAACTGGTGGGTTGTATGACTTTGGCTTCAGTTTTGGTCATTATATGTTTGATTACTTTGAGTTTGCTTTATGTATTAGGTAATTAATGAACAGTTGTGAACACGTATAGTTATTAACTTACTGCTCCTATCTGTTCAGGAGTTTAGAAGAGTAAGTGTATTAATGGTTATAAAGAAGTTTTCCTTGAATGTCCTATTGGGCCAGCACTACATCAAATGCTACCTTTGATTGTGAAAGAAAAAAAAAAAACCTTCACCAAAAGTACCTCTGGCTACTATTTTGCTCCTCACCTCCATGTCTCATTGTTATTCTCTGCACCATGACAGGAAAAGATTGGGTGTGGTAATTAGACTTCTGACCTGGGACTCATCAGAGAAACCTGGTTATGCATCAGATACGCTTCGTAGTCATGGGTAAGTCACTTCTCCGGGCTCCTTTTTCCATGCATCTTCCAGCTTCCCTGGTAAAAAGTTCTGCACGGAAGCCAGGAACTATTGTGAAAGAAATGCAAACCAGAGTGAGCAGTGCAAAAATATTGTTAATCTATTTCACTCTGGTGAAATATGCATGGTTGAGGTGAAGCTGCCCTGCTGGTCTGCGTGTGCTGCATGATCTAAGGCTGCATGGAGGTAAACGTGGCCGTGTGCACGTTGGGGGAAAAATGCTTGGTATTGTCGTGCTGCTTGGCACATTTCACTAAATAAGAGCCTAATCTTTGAGTGCTGTCTAAATGTTATTTTCTGAAAGTTTTCTTGATGGCTAATGAACTCAAGTATCGGTGGCAGTCTACAGGGGGAGCAGTGACGAAGCAGCTGCTTTATTTCCTGCCTTAAGAGGAGCAGTGTGCCTGCGTTTGCCAGCACACTTTTTTATTTTCAGACCAACACGAGAGGAAGCCATATTCCAGTAGACGAGCTGAGCGTTTTTAAAAACCTCAGCAGCACCGCAGTGCATGCTCTACGTGGAAAGAACGACTTTCTTGTGAAAATAAATTTCAGATGCGTGCTAAGCAGCCACCAGCACAGAGGAAACCTACAGATTTGTGTTAGGAACAAATCCTTTCCCTCTTCCCCGTTTTTCCGCTGCTTTACAGCTCTTCCTGAAGAGCAAAATGACCATAAAAGGGGAGAGAAAACAACATGTTTTCTCCTGCTACCAGAGGTTTCTTAACAACCAAGTCCTTTTAGGGTCTGCCTGCCTGTTTTCCCCTCGGCGCAGGCCAGGGCGCCAGGCAGCGCGGGGCTCGGGGCGGCGAGGCTGCAAGTTTGGCCAGGTGCTGAAGGCGGCTCTGCAGGGCTCCCCTCCCCAAACAGCGCTGCAGCCTCTCCCCGCTCCTTACTTTTTGGGGCTTTCCGGGGCTTTCCAGCCCTTCCCGGCAAGCAGCAGCAGCCGAGCTGCGGGCAGGGGCCCGGGCCCGGCGGGGAGCTGGGCTGCGGCGGGAGGAGGAGGAGGAGGAGGAAGGCGGGAGGAGGAGGAGTTGAGGAGCCCGGGCCCGGGAGCCTCCCCGCTTACCGCACTAGGAAGTGACGCTTTCCCTGAGTCCCGGAGAGAAAGAAACAAAGTTTTTTTTTGTTGTTGTTGCTGCTGCTGTTGGGGTTTTTCTCTCGTCGCCGGCCCTCCCTGCCCTCTCCGCCAGCTGCAGCCCCGCGTCCCCGCGGGCGGCCGCCGCGCCTGGCTGCGCAGGTGAGAAGCGCCCCTCGGTCCCTCAGCCGCGGGCCGCTGTGCTGAGCGCGGTTTGCTTCCGTTTCCCTGCCATTTTGGCGAGGGGGGGCTGTGTGTGTGTGTGCGTGTGTGTGCTCCTTTCCCGGGGCTTCTTGTTTCGGGGCCGCAGCATGAGGCGGCCGAACCCCTGCGGCGGTGACAGGGGGGCCGGGGCACCGCTCGCCGCCCGCCGCGGGGCCAGGCTCGGGGCTCGGCCCGGTGCTCCTGCAGGGCTCTCCCGATGTGCCTGCGGCCGGCCGAGCTGCCCAGCGGGGCTCCTCGGGGTTCATCGGGGGTCGGGGGCTCGGCCCGGCCGGGCTTGGGCTTTTTTGGGGTTTTCCCTTCGAGCCGGGGCAGCTCCGCGTGTGCCCGGGGCTGCGGGCGCAGCGCGCTGGGCTCCAGGCGCCCGTCGAGGCGCAGCGGCTGGGTTTGCACGGATTGTGTTTCTCGGCTGGGATTTATGCAACGGAGGGGGTGGGGAGGAATTTATTAGATAATTTCTGAAAGTCCCGTGCTCCCGAACGTACAGCTCTTGCTCTGGCAGCAGCTGAAAAGGACGGATTCTTTGCAGTTTACCAGTAAAAGCTGACAATACGCCCACGCACGTATGTGAGTGTCTTATATAATACTTACGGGTTTTTTAACAGGCGTAAGCAGGATTTATTTTTGGTTTGTAAAGTCGTGTGTGGTTGCAGCCTTCAGAACTAAAGAAATGTTCTTTGCTCGACAGAGATTTACTCGGCTGCCGCTTGAAAACAGAGAGCTTCTTTTTGATAATAGCCAAAATAATTGGATTTCCTCCTGACCAGGTTTCGAGTGCACTGGAAGGGCTCTCCGTACCGGAGCAAGCAGTAGGCATTCAAGGGAGGGGAAGAGAGAAAAGAAATGTCCTAATGCAGAGACTGATATTAGGTTGTTTAGAGGGCGAGACTGCAGTTCCACGCAGCAACAGCAGCAGCTTTATGACTGTGTGTAATTACAGCGTGATTGCATAGGACAGCATTGTTGGAACGAATACGTATACACAGGCTATTGTGCAAGATTTCTGTACTGAACAAAACCTGGATTTGCATTGCAAATGGTAAAATGAGAATATATTCTGTATTGAACTGCCATGTTCCTCTTTGACTTTACCGAAGAATTAGAAGGGGGGGGAAGGAGAAGTGGAGTGTGGCTTATCGTAGAAGTCACAGATGAAATATTCAGCAGAAACGCCACCTGTAGTGTCCAAAATCACAGCATACACAGAAAGCTTGTTCGTGTTTCTGAAGTGATTATGCAGCAAGTGAGAAGCAGTCAGATTTGCTAATAGCCCTGCAAGTTTAGTGTAATTCCTGCTCTGATCTAATTCCTTGTATGCGGGTGTGGAGAAAAATGCCTGTGTTAAAATAAGCAACTGCAGTTCAGCTATCTTGCCTGGAAATGGAGAGAAAAACATTGGGGAGAGTTTCTGTGTCAGCACATAGAAAATATGAGGTTGAAAGGAATACTAGACAAAGCGTAAGTTTTGAATGTGTGGTTTAAAGTGCAATGATTTTTGTGAAGAGCAGCATGTTGTTCAGTGATCTTGCACTGCTGGCTGATAGGACAAGGCATTGGAAGTGTGCCATGGACACTAGTAGCGAGCTTTTTGACTAAGACTTTGGAAGATCAAAATTATGGGTGAAGCTCTTCTGGATACAACTGAAGGTACCTAAGGTTTGTTTTTCAAAGGTGCTGGCTACCTGTAATTTTCTATCCATTTGGAAATTGGCCTTTCCAAGATTAGAGGCAATTTTCTGGAAATGTTATATTTAATCGTCTTTGCTGAGGACTTAATGGTGAAGTCTTGTTTTGAGCACTGTGCTGGAAAGTACTATAAAAATGTAAAGCTGCTTTAAAATTTCTTGGTGTTACGCTAGAACATGTTATTTTAGTTGAACTTGCAGATTGTCTTACTGTTGTTAGTCTCCTTAGATTGTTAACGCAACGCTTCATGTAAAATGTATATAACTTTATTAATGAAGAGCATGGTGAAGTGCTGAAGCTTTTTTTTTTTTTTTTTTAACTCTAGCGAGTGGCTAATTAACCCCAGCACTAGACCTACCACATGACAAACTTAGTTTCATAGTGATTCGTCTGTAAGTTTATTGCAGCATTTCATTTAACACAAAATTAGCAAATATACTCTAGTCTGTGCATTGCTGTGGTGTTCTATCTGTAGATATTTTTCTTTGTGTTGTTCTTGACTGATGTCATAGTTGGTGTTCTAATATCAGTCTCTTCTGGGGAAAACAGGAACAGTGTTTAAGGATTCCTTGAATCATTGTGGTAGTGATGCAACAGTCATTCCTTATGTTGTCTTTTGCTTTGCACAGCCTAGGTGGTGGGAGAAAATGTTTTAGACCAGGATTCTTTGGACTTACGTACATGGAGCGTGTAACTTTTGTCTGTGAGTTGTCCTGTGGTACTCAGGGCAATTAGTCATACCCATACGTTTATTGCATATTAGCAAAAGGAAGGAGTAGCTGTGCTAGCCTTTAACCCACCAAGGCGCATGAGAGTAGCGGTGATAAGAAATGATGTCTGGGGCACGATATGAGCCATGCTCGTTCCAGGGGTTAATTTATGCTTTTACACTTTACTTCTTATTGCCACCCATATGTGGTAGCTGCAGAACTGCAGAAGATATTGTCGAGCCTGTTGTCTCTCCTGTGATGCTCTTATGTCAAGCTGCCAGGCAGTCCTTCGTGGTGCCTCAGATGGAGGACCTGCAGCCCTTCTTTAGAAGCAGCCACCTTGGTGATGGTAGCAGCGGTTGGGGTGTGGGGAAAGGACAGGGGCTTGGACACATAAGGGGACAAGTGGCTGCCATGAATCAGAATGGGTAGCCTAGCCTGCGGTCCCATCTCCAAAGGTGGGTGCGGTTTCAACACGCTTTAGTAATTCTGGAGGAGTTTCTGCTCAATAAACTTATCTGGTATTTCCTTGAGCTCAGGTAAACATTTAACAGCTACTTTTGTGACCAAATCATGGAATGAGAATACTGAAAGGACTTGTACTACATCTAACCAACTATCTTGGTTGTTTCCTTTGTCTTAAAAGAAAAAAAAAGGTTTTCTGTTTCTTCAAGGTGTTGCATTAAATTACAGTTTCTGCTAAAATGAAATACAATAAATGTGCATATTGTTTCCAGTGCAGTTACTTCTATTCTAAGTAACATGAAGGGAGAGAAGAAACTGCTTTTCTCAGAGTGCTCAACATACAAAATGCTGGGGGGTGGGAGGTGGAAGGCAGGCGCTCTGGTGGTGAGGTTTTGCAACACGTGTCCAGAAAGCTGGCAAATTCTGGCACAGGCAAGCCAAGGCTAATGAGTCAGCTTCCAAATGGAAGACTTGTCACCGAGCAATTTGTAAATGGGAGGGCTGTACTGCTAATTCAAGGAAATATCATCCTTAGCACCTCCCCTAATAATTGGAATAGTGTGGCACAGAGCTATCTGTCAGAGGGGAGTTGTTCGTGCTTTGAGTCATGCGTTCCCTCTAGTGCGATTTCAGCATTCAAACCAGCAAATCCCTGTCGTGCGATATAGGTCCCGAAAGAGGTGGTTGCTCAAGTAATAATTTAAATTTTTGTAGTTGCATACCAGCAGCTTGCATGCCGCGTGGAAGCTCCTTGGCAGCTACAGTAGCTCCCAGTGCACAAATGGCATGTGTTTCCAGCATGAGGCTGCTCAATAGGCACTGCACAGCGTTTTGCATAACTTCTGTTTCTGAATGGTCTCCAACTGTAGCCCTTCTAGAGTGCTCTGCTGATCAACTCTAGCAGCTGAAAAATACACAGACTGTTATCAGAAAAAGCTGTCTACTTCCCCCTGGAAAGAAAAAAAAGTGAATGTGTGCTTTTTGCCAGGAGCTAACGTTCAAGTGTTTAGGAGCAAATGGGGACGCAGCAATAAATCTCACTATTTAATTGTTTGTTTTTCTGCATTGACGCTTTGTATCAAGTTTGGTGCAACTTCATCACCAGGCCTGAATTAATGTAATTCACTAATCTGTATTTAGCCTGAAAGATATACAGATATTCTTTGGATTTGCATCTCTTAAGAAATGAATGCTCTTTTTGTGCACAAATTACATGAATGCATCTTGATGTGTTGACAGCTGGTGTTGATTAAGAAGTTAAAAACCGGGAAAAGCTAGATTTGAAGGGGATGGTGGCAGAGTGTTTAGTATTTTTGTTGTTTTCTTAAAGGCATCCTGAAAGGTTTGCAGCAAAACATGGAATAACATTTTCCCTTGTAGTCTTTGGATATTTAGAATTAAATTTGCAGTCCTATATTGTTTCACTTGAATTGTTTTAATCCTCAGCAGTACTTAAATGACTGAAGCAATGAACTGTGAAACAGTTCTGGTATCTGTATTTAATTACATTTTGCTGATTATTTTACTTATCCATTGTGTGTTCAGTGTTGGCATATAAAGAGGTAGCAAGTGAAATTAAATCAGTATTTGTGTCTTATTTCTTTCTTGCAATGCATCTTCTCACCTGAAAGTTGTTTCTCAGTTTGTTGGCCTTCCTCATCGTAGTTTACTAGTAGGAGAGGATATAATTGGATAATATATATGGTACATCCTCTTATCATGTTTTTCTGATTTTTGGAAATAAATTTGTATGTTTGTGTACATACACAAACCGTTCAGTTACACACCCTTAAATTTCTCATCATCTTATAGTTGTTTCCCTGAGAACAAAGGTTTATTTTTCCTGCAATGTTAGAGGGTACCATTTGTAAAGGACTACTCTTTCAAGCTTGAATATCATGCTATTTTTTTATCTTAATCTATTGTTTAATTGGTTTGGGTATTGTTAGAGCTATAGTGACCAAGACATGCATTAGTTTTGATGGCAGTTGTTGTTCTTATCTTTTTATCAAGGGCTTTTAACTGAGAAGTCTTTAGAAATACTGATTTGGCTTTGCAGTTTGGTTGTGGTACAGAGTT